CTGCTGATCCAACGTACAAGAGTAGGATTATCGTCCACGGTTGCCTGCTGAACATTTCGCTGTTACTTGAACTATTAACTATGGTCCAGTCTATTCGACTTTGTTAGAATTAAAGCGGATTCGTCCTTCAATCGACTGGCTAGTGCAGGTCAGCATGGAGGCAAATATTATTCAGAAAACTAACCTTGTTCAACATCTGGAATTGTGAGCACATTCGATTGCAATTTTTCACTCGATAAATCAGACCCTGAACGCTTCTCTTTCTTCTATCAAAAAATAGGTAGAAGACGCCAGGGGAAAAGAAATCTTATATCGCAACTGAGAGCATTTATTTATTTATTTATTTATTTATAGAGCAAGTCATAGAAGGATCGATGGTATTCATTATGTCCCAAACATAGGACAAAAAAAAAAAATCAAAAAAATCAAAAAAAAATCAGTCATCCTAGGGGAATCGATCATTGTATTTGCGTCTTGTTGCTACAGCACGTTATCAGTTATAAATTAAAGCTGCACGTGTGCCGTTTTGAGAAATGTTTACATTACATAAATGCAACAAACTTTTTGGCGTTATCTTCAGGTCTGGGAGCATGGAGAGTCGACATGGCTCATTACAACATGAGGTAGGCGGAAATAAGATTCATGGGTATCTTCTCTTGCTTGAGCACAATTTCCCGGCGGCGCAATTGAAACGATTTAAAGTTCAACTGAGCACAAAAATAGTAAAAAATAATAAGATACGCGGTGGCATTAATGAGTTCAGTGCGCTGGACCCCGGATCGAGAGGTCTGGGTTCGAGTCCTGGCTGGGTCAATTTGTTGTACATGTATGTCCAACGTCGTTCCCAGGGCCTTTTCCCTTAATTGGGGGTGGGGCGGGAAAGGAGGGGAAGGAGCAGGGATCATTGCAATGGACTAGCATCCCACTCAGAGAGGAGTAATGATACTGCTAGTCACCTCATTCTAAAGAACCTGGGATAAGCTCTAGCCAGCGGGCCACTGGGCTCGAGTTAAAACTTAAACTTTTTAATTTTTTTCTTCCTTAGGTTCAACCTATATTATAAGTGCAATTAAAACGATTTAATGTTAACGGTGCGCAAAATTGTTTTGTTTCACAGGAATATCCTTAAGAGACTAAACATTCCACACAAAGACTGGAACTTTTACTCAAATTCACGAACAGAAACTAGAGGTTACTTCTCAAGAGACGAGCATGAAATCAAAAGAAAATCATTCCCGGCTTTGACTCAAGGAAAATTCAAAGACATGACTTGTTCGCAGATGCTGGACTATCTTCTCAAAAAGGAACACGTCGATAAAATCTACAATTTCGCAACGTTTGAAACATTTCAGCAGCACTATCTGACACCCGAGGGATCAAGGTTTTATTTCGACGTTTTTGGATATGATGGAGAACTTAAAGGCAGTCCAGAGGGTGTGGTGGAATTCTAGGAACAACTAGCTGCGCTTACAGGAAGAGAGATTCGTCCTTTAAGAGGAATGTCGGCATTCATCGCCGCTTTGGCCAAATCGGCAAGAAGGCTGGGCGCAAAAATCTTCACGGGTAATGACCACAGGATTCTTTCGATACACAAACAAACAAATCAGTTCGTCCTTAAAACTTCAAAATACGAAGTAAGAGTCGGAAAATTAGTTGTGGCTGCGCCTCCGGGTGCATTTGGAAGTGTCAGCGGCAGCGTAGCGGAAAGGATTCGGCGCGCACCAGAATTTCAGTCCATACTGCCCCGCCCAGCATTCAAGGGGGCTGCAGTGTACCCCAGGGCGTGGTGGGAAGAAATCACGAATGTGGAGGACAAGTTGTATCCTATGGAGAGATTTTTGTCCAACAGTGACTGTCTTGGATGGACGCTACCACATGGGTAAGGTCTGTCGACAAGGCAAACCTGTAAATTCTCGTCAAATCAAAGCACCGTAAAATGAAAAGGAACGAGAAAAAAAATATAAAATCATACTTACCAATTTTAAAAAGTAAGATTCGTAGAAATAACGTGAAAAACTCTGTGATTGGAGCAGTTTTCAATAAACCGTAAATGTCTTGCCTTCTATCGCTCAAGAATAATTTCTTTAGTTTCTAATGCAACATAGCATAGTTAATTCTTTTTGTCTTGTCCAAAGGTCTGGGGTTCGATTTCTCATGGGTCCCACCCTTGTGACAAGACGACAGATTGTCCGTTTAATTTCAATACCGAGTTTAAAAATTCTCATTTTTCCAATAACTTTCTCGTTTATTATTAGCGGGCGCGGTCGAAATGGTGAGGCAGTTCTTCACGTAGCATACAAAGACGGCGTCTGTGGCGAGAAGTGGGGCGAGATCCTCAAATTACCAAAAGACGTCATGGACCAAGAAATTCACCGTGCCTTGGAATACAAGTTTAACAGAAAAATCCCCAAGCCTCTGAGTACCGTGTATCAGTACTGGAACGAAGGTGCATGGTAAGAGAATTTCTCCTCGAGGCCAACCGTTGTTGTAATTTTTGTAAACGGCGCACTCTTACCCTTTAATTCCCAGAAATGATTAACATTTAACTTCTCCCTATAATATTCATACATTATCCAGCAAACAGGTAATGAGAATACTCAAACCTATCAGGTAGAAGTTATCTCGATCTAACACCAAATTCTTGTAATTTAAAAGAAATTGTAAAACAGCTAAAGAGGAGAATTAACAATCAGATCGTGGATGTTAAAGGTAAAAGGATCATGCATTTTAAAGGTGTGAGTGAAATAGGATTTTCTCTGCCCTTTGAACTGTAAACAATTACAATAAGAAGATCAACAAAACCACCACCCTTTCTAGCGGGGAACGGGGTGGTCCTAGGTGTTTTCTTTGCTGGAAGCCTTAAATTTTTCTTCCTCTTGCGATTTCTGTAGTCTACCTATCATTTACTTGAGTGTCATAAAACCAGACAAAAGTTATTTCAATGACCAATCAGGGCAAAGGAAGATATTGAAAAGAGCTGATGAGAACTAAATGTAGTAATAACTGAACTGCCCGAGGCAGGAAAACATGATTAACCAGGTTTAAAACTTGCATTTGATTGGTTAAATGTGTGACACAAGTTCTTTTTGGACCAATCACAGCATGAAGTCAATCAAAACTAATGCAGTTGCTGATGATTCTTGACACTCCTATGAAAATTTCTCCATTTTGGTGGAATCTTACACTGAATTAAAAAAACAAAGCTCTACTTCAACTTCAGCTCTGTCAGTCTCCCAGACCATCCCCAACAAGCTTCAATCTTAAAAATAATACTTTAGTCACCCTGATCAGTGGCGGATCCAAGGGGAGGATCCGGGGGCTCCGGACCCCCCCTATCAGACCTGACGCTTACAAGTTTGAGACAGAATCGTATATCACTTTTTTACTGGCTGATTTTTTTAACGAATCCAAGCCAACGGTAAGCGGCCAAGGAATTATAACGTGCAACGGCGACCGGTGAGAGGGGATGTGGGGGGCGTGGGGGAGAAGTAATTTGCCTCAAGAGTCCAACAGTCCTTTCTGGACCAAAGTTTGGACCCCTCCAATCAAAAATTCCTGGATCCACCTCTGCTGATAAACCAATCAGCTGAACCCTAAGAGAACAGCTGGTATAAACTGGTGATCAGCACTACATTAAGTATGCTTTATTAACTTTCTTTCAAGGTACTTGCAGAAACCTGGAAGCCGTGTTTCGATGAAGCAAGTCACCCAATGGGCCAAGAGACCCTTTGCAGGAGAAGACATCTATGTTATTGGTAGTGCATATCATCCCTACCGGGGTTACTCTGAGGGTGCTATTATGTCAGCCAACAATGCCCTGAAAGATGGTTGGAAAATACCCATACCCAGTCCTCCACAACAAATGCAAGGACCAAAAAGTTTCACGGATATAAATTGGAAGAATATTAGATAAAGTAAGTGTTTATTAGAGGAACTACTGCCTAGACTTGTGATGCAATAAAACACAGTTCTTAAGGGGATGATATGTTTGTGTTCATTTTGTAGAATTTTTAAGAATCTTTCCCTGGATTGCAACTTGACAAAACTCTCCCTTTCATACCAAAGAAAATACATGGGCTCAAAAAGTTGTTTTGATCAATTTTTTCGTAGTTTTCCATGTTTTCAGGTTTCAAGTTTTTAACTTTTACAAATCTGCCATCATTTATATGCCTTGAAAAATCTATGTTGTCCTTAGAATTCCTCATCTCAGATATCAAAGGCTACTATTGTGGCTCCCAGTCCTCTCCTTGCCTTCCTGCCATCATTAAAGCCGGAACTTTTTTATTGGCAATAAACACATAACAGTAAATAACACCAATTAACACCAAATAAAACTGATTTAGAAGCGACAAGGGTGATAGGAGGAAAAAAAAAATATAGCTCAGGGAGAATAAAAAGATAATTATTTATTCTGTATGTTAAACAACTTGCACATTTTCATACCCTAGGAGAGATGATCTGACTGTGTGTGTGTCTGTCAAATGAAACAACTTATTTCCATTCTTTCATTTTGCACCCATGTCTGACCTACAGAGCAAAGACTTCCTTTATAAAAACTAAAATATCAAATGTTCGGACCGTCTTCTGGCGTTCAAAGAAGGACTTGCATCACTTGGATAATACCTTGACTTGTTGAATTTTGTCAAGTAGAGTTTTAGTCTGTGTTTTCTTATTAAAGGAAGGAGATTTTATGGGTCCAGCTTGGTTTTTTTAATATTATAAGCCACCATGCATCTGATTAGTACTGGAAACTTCTATGAGTCTGAATGTCGTCAAGTAGTTGCTGAAGGTCATCATCATCAAACCTTCCCTCCAAGCTGAGAAAGAAAGTTTGGAAATAAACCTTTCTGTGACAAGTAGAGCAAGTGCTTATCATCATAGGCAATGGGTTTAAATACACCTGATTTGTCAGTTTGACAAATAATACAAGTAAATAATTAAATAGGTTGCATAGTATTTTTCCAAGCCCTGTAGAGACAGGGAAAAAAGTGAGCAAAGTGTAGGCAGTGAAACAAGGTTTTTTTAACCTTTTGTACCAAGGAATGACTGGCAACTAAATTCACTTGGCAGTATCACCGCTGAATTAAACATTACTGGTACACTCACTCAAGCAAATGATCACTAACTAAACAAACTTTTTTCTATCAATTTTCAATATATAAAAATCATAGATGTGTACCGTGGTTTTAATGAAAAATGTATGAAAGCATTCCTCACAGAAATAGTACTCAGGGTTCGACACTTGGCTACCTGCACTTCTAGCCACCAGGCTAGTGATTTCTAAAATTTACTAGCCCAAAACGGAACTTGGTAACCCGGATCAATTTCCCCTGAGGTCTACTTTAACCCCAAACACGCAAACCTTCCTCCAAATTTATTAGAAAGGTCCTCTAAAATGAAAAAGAATGGTGTTTTTTCTTTAATTGTGATAATATAATGTGCTATTTAAGGAAAAAGCTAAGTAAATTTTCAAGTTCAAGGCGATCATGCGAGGTGATGTGCAAGGCAGCGCAACATTGGTAGGGAGAAGACTGGGGAAGACATTGACCATTAAGCGCAGAGTCTGGGATATAACAATGTTTACGATTTACACGCAAGACAAAAGAAAGACGCCAGAAGATGAAAGGCTTATGCCTTCTTTATTGGTATTATCAGGTGCGATCCATTCAACCAAAATTCCAGAAATTTCAGCCTAAAACTGAATGGATCAGTTTGGTCCAACCGGAAAAGTTTTGAAAAAACTGGCCCACCTTTCGAGGTGGACCACTGTTCTTGGTTCGAACGGTCCTCTTGGCCCAGAAATTTTGGTTGAATGAATTGCGCCCATCATTATAATTCAAACTTTCTTGTTTTTTAATCAACTGCGAGCTTCAAGCAAACTAGTTATAAATAGTTTCTTTCAATTTTATTACTAGCCAGCGATTAAACGTGTATTTTTACTAGCCCAACCAAATTTTTACTAGCCTCGCGCTACCGGGCTAGCGGAGATGTCGAAACCTGAGTACTAGGTAGTATAAATAGTAGGCAGTAAAAGTTGGTGGAATTTTTTTCAAGCCTTATTTCAACGTACTTGTTAAGATTTATTACATGACTCGCGCAGTCAGAGGGCCAATAACTAAAATCAACCAATCAAAATGCTCTATTGCCGGTCCAATATTCTCTAAGTACTGGACCGGGCACTGTCCCAAATGGTCCCGAATGATACCGCACTTGTGTCCCTTTGAACTTCAGTTGTATAATAAAACTCTTATTAACCAAGCCTGCTTGGGACCATACAGGAAGAATATTGGCCCTTGGTCTTTTCTGTACGGACCTCGCTGCCCTCGGTCCATACTGTCAAGACCTCGGGCCAATATTCTCCCAGTGCGGCCCTCATGCTTGGTTAATAAGATATATTTATTTATGACTGGAGAATATGCATTCTGATGTGAGGGTTTGAAAGGTAAACACCTACCTCGGAATCAAGGCCTTCGCTTCTTCTGCTGTTTCAGGACATAAATTGGCCAGGCAGGCCAGTTCAAACTTATGCAGTTTCTTCTTGCCCAGCAAACTATAACAAGAGGTAAGAATTGTCAGAAACTGGAAATAAAGTTGAACTTCACTGCAACAATTAGTCTGGGGTAAATCTGGCTGGCAGATGTGAAAAGGTGGTTGTTTTACAGTAGCCACTACTCTGTATAAGAAAATGGTTGCCAGTTTGCTGTGCATCTGTTCAGTAATAGCTTACAGATGATCTCAAAATGAGGTGAAAACAAAAAGTGGCTCTTGAACCATCTCCAAGTGTGTCCAGGGTTCTCAATAGAATTTTGTACAGCTGTTGCTGTGTTACTTTTATGCATAACATTACAAGGGGGCCTTTTGCCTCTTGCTTGAAGACAGATGTCATGTTTTAGCAAGTTGGAAGACGACATCTGGGAGGAGGCTGGGCTAGATTTTACAAATTCAATATGGCCACCATATCTCAACATCATGGGGACATTGCAAAGCACGGTGATAGTTTGGTTATTTAGTTTCAAAAAGTTAAACCCAGTGTTCGAAATTAGCAGTCGTCCGGCCGTCCAAGACGGCCAAAAAGTTTACCGGGCAACCAATTTTTAGTAAAATTAAGAGGCTGGTTGTCGGGGGAAAAGACAACAGACAACTTAGCCAAAAATAGAAAATAAATTAACCATAAACAGCAACTGACCTATGTGACGGTTTTGTTTTATCAATGTCCGGTAGTGTGAAGTTAATAATAATTTGCCTGAGCTAAGCGTTTTCCTGTGTTTTGGATATCTGTAAATTTGATAAAACATTGCCAGGTACAAAAATGTAAGAGACCAACACAAAGTTTCTTGTCTGGAGGCAATCAAGATCAAAGAGGCCATTTTGAATATGCCACAACTTAAACCCAGACTTCCACGAAAACCAATGCTGCACACTAAGAACTATGGGATTAGTTCAAGCTTGACCGCCATGTGATTTTCTACCAGGCAACCAAGGATTCATCAGGGCAGCGAAATTCATGGCTTTGGTTGCCCAGCTTTTGAAATAGGGACAACCTGGAATTTTTTTTAATTTCGAGCAATGTAAACCTACCTACAGTCAAAACTAAACTCAGTTGCCTCTAAAAAAGTTGTTTGCTCAATATTCACAAATTGATCTACTATTCAAAGTGCTTTGACAACTGTAACACTTACCAGGTGTTAGGAGTTCAGTTAAGAACCCAGGTGTCACTGATTTCATTATATTTTTATTTGTTCTGTGAGCTAGATATTACTGAACAGAGCCAAGGCAACATACAATCAAATTGTTTCATATGATAAAAAAAACATGTTGTTCATGATAACATCATCAATGCATCTGCCCTCTAATAGATCATATAGGAACCAATCATGTGTGTATAATTCAACTTATCATATAAACGATGATCTTGTCTATTATTTGCCTTCCAAGTAGGGAATTGTTTCCTATTTCTGTTAGTATGCTGCACAAGTACTCTGGATCAGTCAAGTATCACTGATCGGTTACTCTTGATGTCTGGAAAGATTGCTTTTGATTCACAGATGTACTATACAAGTATTTTACTTAAGAATAGGCTATTTTACAGTTGTATACTTAGTTGCCGAGCCTTTGATTCAGAGTGAGGCTAAAGATGACCTTTTTGTGATAGAGACCTCTATCTAGTTAGCATGATAACAAAGTGATTTACATTTGAAAGGCAGCAAGGTTTGTATCATAACAAGGTCATCCCTAGCCTCACTCCCGTTCAAAGGCTTGG